TTTTTCTGGAGCAGAGTACCTACCTCTCAATTACGCAGGATCAAAATGGAAGATTACTTACAACAGACAAGCTCTATTCTGCTAAATTTTGATCCTATTACTACTTTATTAAATAAAGTTAAGCCTCTAACTGGTAACAATAATAAATTTTTGGCCTGTGAACCCCTTAGTATAGCTTTGGGACCCAGACTATTTGGAATGATGAAAATACATAAATTGAGTTGGCCTCTTAGCCAGTTTTAGAGAAAACACATGCCCCAACCATTACTATACAATGTGGGTTGCATACTGTCCTTGTAGCTTTAGATATTTACCCCTTATATGTCATCAAATCCTTGTGGAGTGTTAAGGTAGGTCCAGATTACTGTACAGTAATATTTCGACTTACATGAGCCTGGAGTTACGCGATTTTCAAATCTCATCAATTCGTCTTTTGTTTGAACGCCATGCAACTCTTGATTACTCATTCCCCCACACTATTGTTTAGCTTACATGTTTGGACGTCCCGCGCGGAATTGACGCATAGCTACAATTTATTTTGTGTTATTTATTTCTGTGTTTGTTATATCTACGGATACTTGAGAGACTCTGTGTGGTGATTTCTTGTAACCGTGAACAAATCAAAAGGCGAGATAAGGTTAACGAGAACATTTATTAGCTTACGTACATTAGATTTGGATTTTACACAAATTGCAAAAATATACCCCGACTTACGCAAATTCGACTTACGTGGTTATCGCTCGGTCCCACCTATTGCGTAAGTTCAGGGTATTACTGTATTAATGAGTTATGTAATAACATAAATTCATTAATACAGTGTGTCATAGGAATACATAATTAGATTTTGAGATTTTAGATTACTTTCTTGACTTGTTCTTTTGTACAACTGGTACTTGGCTGATTAGTGTCAGTGTGTTTATTATCATTTGGATTTTTCTTTTCCATTTTTAAATTGATTAAATCATGTAAAAACATTTCAATGAGTTAAAATATTGTTGCCATATATTTATTTTAGCTTTGCATATGTCTTTGCAGCAGACTTCAAATTTAAACCTGAATTTGATATTAATTTTTTGTTGATAAAGTATTATGAAACAACCCACAAGATTGTGTGCCACTAAACTACAATAATTTGTATTGTAAGTTGTACTGACTTCTTCAAACTTTGATTATAACAAATACATAGGGATAATCAATAGATGGAGTCAGTCTTTCAAGGGCATTTAAATCTGTTCAGAAAGTTTTACGATTCATTATACTGTATAGATAGCATAATTTCACTAAGTAAATTCTGTCCTACTGGATACAAGTAGTGTCCTACTGAAACATATAAGTTAAAACAAGATTGCTGTATTGTAATTATAATTTTTGATATAATTATCATAATCTTCAGGTAAATGGGCATTTTTAAGCTATCTTTTCTACTACCAGTCTCAACATTTGACTAACAACACAATTGTTATGAGTTATTGAGCAGGATTCTGCTATAAGTCAGAAAGTGTTTTGTTTGTGATTGAAGCTTAAAGCAAGCACACAACCACTAAACAATATTTTTGTATAACTTGGCAATACTTGTTGTGATGAAGCCGGAATTTTGAAATTTTATTTATGGCTAAGATATTTAAGGTCATAGTGGACCAATAACTGGCTGTAAGCTAGTTGCTTGCTATACGTCAATAGCATTTCTGATTGCTGTCAGTTTACATTGATCTCTATGATAATTGACAAGACTATGTCTCGTTTCTAAAATCGTGCTGTTGTCAACGGCTGGACTCCTTAGAGGTATGAAGAAGTACATGTCAGGAGTTGCAATTTGACACAGAGTATTTGGTGTCCAAATCATATGCACATAAAAGAAACCAGACTTGTAGGTAGTTGAGACCGAGAACTGGGTCAAAATAAAATATAAAATGGTTAGATTGTTTCTACAAACAGGCGCGAGTGTAAGATTTGTGCATGCATTGCTTGCACTCTCCGAGACATAGTCTCATCCCAAGAATGGTTTTTCCATTTTACTTGTTTTTTATTTTAGATTTAGATCAGTTTTAAACTTTTTTTTATCTCCCACAGTTTTAGTTTTATACACTGGAGCTCAGTTTTGTTTTCTTAGAAAATACCTAGTCAGTCTTAACCAGTGTTTTAAAGGGTAAATGTTAATTATTTTAACATTTGTTTCCAGTACAGTAGTATAAATTGTTGGTATTTTTTATTTCAATTATAAGCAGAATGAATTAATAATTATTATAATTAATAAATCTTCAAATTATATGATGTTTAATTGTTTTTACATGTCACTTTAATATAAGAATCAATTAAATCAAATTTCCATTAATTGTAGTATTATTTACTTCTCTGCTTAATGTTAAGTCAGTTGTTATCATCAGTGTAGGCAAATCCAAACTGATTATAGTAAGCAGATTTGCCTGTATTACAGTACATATGTATGGGGAGATATACCAGGTGATCATAATTAAAGTGCCTGTATTCAATAATGTGTAGACAGATTTAGCAGTTTAAATGCAACTGAATGTCATACATTGACACTTCAGAACACGTGAAAGAAATTCTATAAAAAAAAATATAAAAAAACCAAAACTTGCTACTTAAAGATGTTTTTACTTCTTTTTTAATTACTGTATTTTTTGCTTTATAAAATGTTTTTTTGTATGCAAAAATTTATCTGAAAATTAGTATGCATCCTATTATCCAAATGTGCTTTATACTGTAAAGAATATTTTTCTCCCAACGATCAACATGAAAATTGTGTTTCATTCAATATAATGGTATCTCATAAGGTGAAAAATACAGTATATTGGTCAATAACTGAATGTATTTATTCATATAATAATTATAATTGCTGATAAATATAATATTTTTAATAATTTTTGAGAAGTAAAGGAATTTACATTTAGTATTGAACAATAATAGAATATTTATTTGTCTGTAAATTAATTATATAAATACAGTTAAACTTTTTTTTTTATTAAGTGAAGTTGTAAGCTAGTTTCATTGTTTCAGTATGACTAATATGTCATATTCGTCTGCTATTTTCTTACCAAGACTATTGAAACAATGAAACAAGTTCACTTGATAAAAAATTTGCATAAGCCACCCCAAATATAAAACAGTTTTTATTTTTTATTGTTTTTGGTTTTTTACAGTAAAACTTTAAGATGACCAACTTAAATCTGAGGAAAATCAGTCATCTCAACGATGATCTTTTTAAAGGAGTAAAAAAATATAATAGAGTATTTTATATAATACTGTGTACTGTAATACTACACAGTATATGTAGTATTTTAGTGTCACACTATTCAGGCTACTGTGTAGACAATACAGAAAAAACTATTTAAAAATACAATGCATTAATTAACACTATATTGCTGCAAGAAAATATATTTATTAATATATCACATGTAATCCTTTGATCCATAAGTGAAAATATAATGCATTCAATCTTAAATGTTTAATTTAAAATAATCTATAAAGGACATTTGCTTTCTGTTTCAACTTTTTGATAAGATGACACCTTCAATATTTCTTTTTATTTGGTCAAATAGATTTTTAAAAACACTGAAATTTGTCATTATTGATTACCATTTTATATACATGTATACCTTGCCTTACGTCGGTAATTGGTTCCAGGAGAACGACTTAAGTCGAAAAACGACGTAAGTCGAATTTACTTGTCTCCAAATCTACTTGTCACTAGGCTAAACCATAAATTGCCAATTCCCGTTCTGTATTTTATTTATTAATGCATTTTTAATAATGTATGGTTAATAAGGATCTATTTTAAGCTTACAAACAAATAAATTTTAGTTTTTAATATAATACAGAAAAAAGTGATCTAAATCTACGAATGCATGCATTGTAAATATAGTACACACTTGTAAATGTATATATTTTAATATGATTTTATGTGCTTTAAACGCTTTTCTAGTGATATTACGACTTCAATATTTGTGGCGGACAGACGTAAAGTCGAATAAAATGACTTAAACTTTTTTATTTTTATTTTTCCATATACTTTTTTGACAAACGACGTATAATCGGGAACGACGTAAGTCGAGGTATACCTGTATTCCTATTAGTGGAAAGTTTGAATTAATTGGATTTTTATATTACTTACTGTAATAAGAATAAAGTTTATATTAACTTGTTTTGGTGATATTAAGAGCAAATTATGTATATTTCCCACAATAGGACTGAATAGGAGAAAATAGAGACATTGAAGTTGAAAAAAATTTGACACACATTTAAATCTAGCACAACAGTGCAACATGCTCAAACATTGTATATTATTCTTACCCAAGGTTTTGACTCCATCCCAAACAGGATGATGAAAATCAATTCAAACCTTGGTTGCCTCAGAGGATATTTTACACAAAGGGATTGAGAGTAGTCATAATTATGAGTCCAGGTGATCATTGGTCAGTTAAAGGAGTGGTTGGCTTAAGGATGATTAAAAACAAGTAGCAATTTTTTCAGATTGCTACTTTATTTGGAGACATACTTCTAATTTAGATTATATGTTTAGAATAGAATATAATTTGATTAATAATAAAATTATTAATCAAATATCTTATTTATAGAAAATAAAACTTTGCTTTTGTATAAAACAAATGAATAACATTTGAATTTATTTAGATTGATTATTCATAAATATACCATTTAAATACATACAATATAGTACAATTCTGTAAAGATGATTGCATTCAATATTAGTAATTTATAGTATTATAATTCTTAGTTTTCATAATATTTTTAATAGGTTTAAAACATATTGCATTGATAATAAAATTACTAAAATATTTCAAGTGTAATTTTATATTTTAGTAATTAATTTTGATGTTGAAGTTTGAAATGTAATTTGTTTTTTAATTTTCAGTAATAAAATAGATATTTAATATAAAAGTTATAATGATTATATAGAGAATATAAAGATAATTACACATTTAATAATGCTGTTAATATTATATGTTCAAAAATTTTTATAGTGTTTTAACAAGTCGTAAAAGTAGTTCTACCTCAAGCTTACTAGAAGCTACCTCAGAAAATAGCAAAACCTTTGTATCAAGTATGGGTCAAGCTACATCAACTGAATTTTTGACAATTAGAGTAAGTATATATAAATTTTTACAAACAAAATATTAAATCTAAATGTATTTAGTGTTGGATATAAATGTTTATTTTCTATATTTTTTTCATAGTGTATTACATTATTAATTTAATACAATTAAATAAGATTTTGTATAGATATTTGCAGAATTTTATTAGTAATCATTCCAGTTCTTACAAGATAATGGATGTCATAAGCAGTTGTTGTATCTCATATTTGGGAATTATATTTACATATTTTAACAGTAATAGCTATTATAATGATCTATTTTTAGATGAGAAAAAATTTAAATTTTTTTGGAAAAGGAAAATATTTACTGGAAGATAGGAACTGATAAAGTGCATTCAATAAGGCCAAACTATAAGCATTTAAGAAAGTGGGAAACTGCTTATCATGCCTTTAGAATATTACTAATGTTTACAGAGAAGTTTACCTGTTGGAAAAATGTACTAAAACTTGTCTGAAAAACTTTGATTTGATGGTTTTATCTGTCTAGATAAGAAATATTCTGTGAATGACCATCAAAATTAATAGGGCTGCAAGTGGGTTACTTTTTTTGCAGTTAATATTTGTTTTCCTATTTTCAATATTAGATTACTTTTCGTTATAATTTGTCTTTCAACAATTAAACATACAATCATTATGAGAATGTAGATTAAAATATACATTATTATTGAAATAGAAGAAAAAACATCAGAAATATTCAGAGAAAACACTACCATTTATAGTGGTGTCATTCTTGAAAGCACTTCCATTTTAACAGATGTCATTTTTGCTGTGGAGTCTAGAAACATAGTATTGTATCCTGTAGTTGAACTTTCTAAATACAAATTGCTATGGACATGTTTAAGTTACCCTTGCTCTGTGATACATGGGTTTTGATTCAGGGATGAGGACATATTCTTCAATATTTTTGTATCAGTAAATTTGTTCTCCTCCCAAGATGTGTGTTCTTATTTTATATCATATTACAAAAATTAGGAATAGAAATAAGTACACTCTACACATCAGGTACACCTTATATACACTCAAAACCCAAGAATGAAAAATTTTTATTACTCATTGTCATTGGCCTGATATCCTAATATATATATATATATATACAGATTGATGCTCATGGTGTAATACCATGATTTTATAGGAATGGACAGCTTATCTGAATTATAGACTGTTAATGGATATGTTTCCTGAGCCAGTTATACTAAAGGAAGAACATTGTAGCTTGTTTTGGATGCTGGTCTTATTGACAAAATTATCTTTGCAATTCTTGTACTGCCAGTCTCTTGAAGTTTTTTTTTTTTTTTTTGGAATGTCATACCTGCAAAATATTTATTTCTTATGTCAGTTAATTGCTTCATTCTTTACCCCAATTGCATTTTATTATTTCAAGTGCTGATCTCTGGTAAATTCAGTGACACATTTTATAGACAGGAACTTCTCATTCAAACTTTATGAAAAATTAAGAATGCTTTGCTGTCATAGGAAAAATTTGCAAATCTGATGTGAAGACTGTGGATAAGACAGCAATATAGGAGGTAAAGAAAATCTTTGAGTAAAACAATTTGTTGTCTCTCAAAGAAATTGTTCTCAATCAGCACATTCAAAATGCCTTGAATGGACTCCAAAAGGAGGAGATACTTGTTTTTTGTCATTGTATGTAATGACACTTCATTTCAGCCTGCAAGCTCCTCAAAGAGACATTGCTATTAGTGCTTGTATCAGCAGTGTTCCATAAACAGTTTTTTTTTTCTGGTTTCTGAAAGCAAGAGGATTTCTAAAACCAGAATTTAAAAAATTCAAACTATAACTGTATAGTCATTGTGAGCTTAGCAAATATCCTTTCTATGGACATGTCAATAAACATACTTCAAGATGAATGAAAACTCTTGCAGCTGAAAAAGTTACTGAGCAGAATAAAAATACTCCTATAGATGTTTATTGGGAATCATTTCTTACTCTGAAAACTCTTTCTGAAATCTGAAATATCCTCATGTCACTAGTCATTCAGGCTTCTTTAACTTTATCTCATGGAAGTGTGGATGTGGAAAGAGGTTTTTCTCAGTCTGAAAGAATTTTGATAGATAACAAGACACACATGGATTAAAGTGCTAAATGCCAGATTCAATGTGCAAGATGTATTAAAGGAATGTGGTAATAAACCAGAGTATGTATCAATTACAAAGAAACTGATGGCATTAACAAGGTCAACTTATGTTTTCTTGTATGGGAAGAAAAGAATAAAAAGCAAAATGACTCAAAAGCAAAAAGAAGAGGAACAGCATAAGCTTATGGAAGAGAAACGAAAGGAAGAGGTATAGAAAATAAAACAATTTATTGATAAATTTTAAGACAATCTGAATTAAGCAAAGAAATGGAGACAGAAAAGAGAACAAGTGAAAAACTTTTTAAAGCAAATAAGGAGCTAAAAGTAGCTTTAGAAAAAAATGATATGAAGAAGCCAAAGCTGCTCAAGCAATGCTACAAAGCCTTAAAGTATGTAAAGTATTGTTTGTTTACTTAGCCAAAAGTAAACAAACAGATCAGTGACGACAAAGGAAATTTCATAACAAATTTCCTCAAGAAAAAATGAAAAAAAATGTGGAAAAATATGTACAGTATCTGTTTTCTTTTTTTTTTTTATATGGATTTTTTACTCAATCTGGACTTGTTTTGGTTTTCCTTTGATTTGCATTCAATTGGTTATTAGCTTGAGTATTTTACTTTTAGTTCATTTTTATTTTAGTTACATACCTCAAGTTGTGTATACAGTTTCTTGTAAAATTATGTACAAAAATACAGTGGAACTTCACTTAACGAGCATAATTTGTTCCAAAATGTTACTCAAAGTGAAATACTTGTTAAGCAAAACAATTTTTCCCATATAAATTAATATAAAAGACAATAATGCGTTCCATGCCAGAAAAAAAATACTCAAATATTTTATGTATAATGTTTATTCAAGAAAATTATACAATATAAATTGTTATGGAGCGTGAATCATCGTCATCATTTTCTTCTAGCGCAGAATGAACCAACCTGGAATGCAAATTCGATTTGCAAAAAAGAAGTAGAAATACAGTAATTTCTAATATTTAATTATAGCCTTTGCATAGCCCAAGAATTTGGCATATTCTGCAGTGTGTTTATTATATAATGGGCTATGGTTGTTGATGTTTATATGTAATAAGTCTGAACACAACTTTGGAAAAATGTGTGATCATAAGCGACACTAAGATGATAGAAGAACGAGTGCTACACACAGACTGATGTAGCATGTGCACAATCCAGGATATCCCCTTTCTTTGTAATTCATTATGTGAAATGCTGTTCATTAGATGAGTCATTTTTTTACAATTTGCTTTGCTTGTTATGAGAGGTGCTTGTTAAGTGAGGTTACCACTGTAATAATCAGTGGAAGGATTGTAAGGAACCTGGTACCTATTGGGCCTGGTACCTGGTACCTAGTGGAAGGATTGTAAGGAACTGGTACCTATATGATTGAACATTGCAGACATTGCTATAGCTTTTGTATCAAGGCATGCTACTATATGCTTTTAATTTGTTTACAAATGCTCATTAATAAGTCTGAAGATGATATGGGTGCATGACTATTTTGTTAAGATTGATTGAAAAACCAGCAAATATGTTGATGAATACAGTATTGCACAAAATTTGTATTCACAATGATTCATGTACAAATAATTTTTCATAGATTTATTTATTATACATACATTTAAAAAAATCTACACACATTCTGAGTATGAGAAATCTATTTTTAGGTACACTGTTCTTACATTGACCTACAGAAAAGAAAATACAACATTTATACACAGTTACATATATTACTGAACATAAAATGTATGCTAGCTCTAATGAAACAATGTTTGTTCAGCACAATGCAAGGTAGACTGTATACAGTTTATTGAATTTCACTGCATAGGAGTTTGAGGTCCACCTGAGATTCTGTTACTTTGCTCTTGTTTCCACACATGATCTCCCAACATGTACCAATGTGCACAGCTCTTATTGCCTTCCTCTGCTTTGATTTGCACCACATTTTCAAGAAAATTTCAATTGCAGAATATTTAGCATGCCAAATTATTATTAGACAATTTTGGATTATCAGCTACTTTTCAGTGGATAAATAAACTTCTATTGTAATATGTAATTAAGCTAGTTGAAATAAAGGAAAATATTTTGACTAATGTAATTTTTTTTTCCTATCATCTATGATAAAAATTGAAATTTATATTAATGATTAAAATAAAACATCCTACTAACCTAAGAGAGTTTATCAAAGAGAGGCAGAAAACTTTGTGTGTGCATGTGTATACTGTTTCATATAAAGTGATATTGTTCATGAAAAATAGATCAATATGCGTAAATCTTATATCATTATGTAGAAAACAATATTGTCTTTTGTGCTGACTTAGTGCCATAAACAAATAACGAATCAAACAATTTTATTTTTTGTCAAAGTAACATAATTTATAACATCAAAAATTTAGGTCATAATTTAACATTTTTTTGTAAGTAGTTTTTACTTTGATAATATACTATTGTACTGAAAACTACATAAAATAATAAGTATATGTAATTTTTTTTTATCCCTATGATAATAATTCAATTTTTGGTGAATTTTTAAAATAAAATACATCGAGTGACATTGAGTGACTGCAGTTTGGACCATTGTTTTGAAGGGTAAAGTACAACTGATCAGGTCGCATTAAAAGGGTTAAGTTCTTCTCTTCTGTCTTCAAATCCTATACCACCATTTCTAATGGTCAACTCTTTACTTCTGCAATAGTTTTCTCATGCTCGATCTAGAATAGGTTTAAGTTTATCTGAAGTGATGATCTCAGCTATGGACCACATCATCTTCCAGCAGGAGGTTACAGATGTATCTTTGATGTCCTCTGTCACCTGTTTTATTAGGAAGAAACTGGCAGCTATGATGAAACCATTCTAAAACTAAATTACTGAGATTGTCATTGCTGTCTAAACCCTTAACAATGCAACTCATACTGCAAAGTACTATATTATTTTTCCAACTTTTCCAACGATTATCAACACGACTGTGTGCCGGAAATAGCCGTTCCCTAACGGGTACTTTGCGCAGATTCGCATTGGTGTGCCAGGCCTGGACTTTAAGCGTGCACTGAATTAAATAATGACCAAGTTTGTCAATAACAAATCAAATATTTAATAAAGGTTCTAGTAATAAACTATATACAAAACTTAGTAAAAATCAAGTAACAATTTATTCAATGAAAGTCAATAAGAATCAACCCGACAAAACTCAATCAATCTATTTTTTAACTTGATTCTATTGCCCTTTGGAATTTGACAAAAAATTCAAAGACTTAACTTATGTACAATAATTCTTATGAATTAAAGATCCTAATTGTCACCTCAATATACTAGGAACCTTTTTCCTCAACTCTCAAGACTTTCTCTAATCTTCGATCCACAAATCGAATAACTTCAAAATTGCCTTGGAACTATTTTATCCTATCGGACACCTTTCTTGTTCACTGCTACGAAGCTCACCAAGCTCGTTGCTATCTGGAGTTCACCTCGTTCGTCTTCACTTGACGTTCGGTTTTTATACTGTGAGGTGACGTCACAATTCTGAATGAGATCACTCCTCATTTATATACTTATTCACTAACAATAAAAACTTTTCTATTTGTCTGGTAGCCTATTTTCCGACAATACTCGCTAATTTTTTACATTATTCTTTTTGACAATTTTTGGGATGTTTTATTCTTTTAAGGTTTAGCGAATTTAAGTTGTGCGTGTAGGGTCTTCTCCCCCCTTTTCTCGGTGCAGACTTACTTTTTTCTGCTCGGGAACGCAAGTGTGCGTGAGTTTTTTCTACGGCGCTTTTCTCTCGTTGGTGAGTTGGTTTCTCTTCTATTTTTAAGTTTCTAAGGTGAATGGTGAGGAAACCTTCGTCCTAACAAAACATAAGCCCCAAACAAAAATATAATAAAAAGCAAAAATAAAAGTAAATAAAAAATAACGCTCGGACTTGGTTCCTTACAATACATCTCTTCATATAATTGGTTTTAAGGGATCCTATATCTCTTAATTAAATGGCTGGGATAAAGGATGTAGTATTAGGAAATAGACAGTATCTACTTTGTCATTTGCAAACTTGTTTGCGTAACTTGGATGTCCTGGATATTGTCTAGTGAAAGGAGGACTTTAAATGGAAACCCTTCAGGAATTAAACAATGGTGGAATTAATCTGAAAAGAGGTCTTTTGTTGTTCAAGCTTTCTTGATTCACATTAATTAAAACATGTATATTCTGGTTTTTCAATTGTAATTTAACTTTTACTTGGAAAGCTAATTCTAGACTAAATTAGTTAAAAAATATTTCTGTTTTAATAAATACTTTGGTTTCCTTTATTTAGTAGCTTATTTCTAAATTTTGAATTAAGGTAGTACACTTAACTATAAAATTATATTAATGATTAAATCTGTCTGAAAATCACACTTTGATATTACACTTTGATATCAAATAATTTTTACTTTCCTGGCAGTTATATATCAGAGGGAAAGTATTGTAATCAATTAAATTTTGATCCTCCAGGTTTTTTTGCATTTCTCAATGTTTTAAAGTCTCCTGATTCCAATAACATCAAAAAATGTGAACACAATTTTGTATATGTGAGTGTATTTATGTGTGTGTTGGGCCTGTATTTTGCTTTATATTTCAAGACTCTATGAACCAAAAGTTTTGAAATATGGCAGGAATAATTCTATATATGGGGCATTGATGCTATTACATTTTGGAGATTATAAGTCAAGAAGGGAGATAGAGGAGAGTCATATCTCGAGTGAGGTCAAACACATTTTTATATATTCTGAGCATTTACAAAATGATTTGTGTAATTATAATGCTATCTAAGCATTTTTAAAATTTGTTACATATAGCTAAATATACAGACAACTATACTTGAACAGATATATTATTTGTTGAAAAATTTTAAAATCTCACACTTAATAGAAAATTTATTCATTATTAGCATTTACAATTTTTTAAAAATTCATCCATGCCTCATCTATAAGGCTTTTGTCTTTTATAATAATAATTATAAAAAATTACTTTTTAATAAATGAATCTTGTAACATATGTTCCAAATATAATTTTTTCCTTTGACTTCGTGTTTGAGTGCCAGGAAAGATGTGCAAGAACCCTTTCCAGCTTTTTATCAAGGTTTTTATTAATTTGTAAAAATTATCTACTTATCTGATTTATTTGAAAAATAACGAATTATATGTTATTTACTGTGAAGGAATAAAAAGGATGAAAAATTTACAGATGTATTGAATTAATATCAAATTATGAAAGTTTCAGACAATTTATGATGTTTTAAGGTAATACGTAGTGTACGTTTTTCTGTAATTTTGCAGAAAAACAATTTTTTTCCTTAATATCTTCAAGTCCTTACATTAACAATTAAGTTGTTAATATTTTATTTTTAATCTGTGAGAATCTGATATTATAATCTGAATTTCAAAAACATGTTTTCCAATAAAGATATTTCCATTCTGGCTTCTAAAAAGTATTACTGGTTTGTTTTTCTGTCTGCTTTTATTGATTTTTCTTTTAATATTAAAGATGAATTTTTTTTTGTAAGAGTTTTTATAAGTAGTGATTTAAAAGTCAATAATAGTTCTTACAAACTTTAAATCAAATTTAAATCAAAATATAAGTAGTCTGTGTTAATGGTTATAAACTTCTGTTTGTCTAATAATAATTGTTTTGAAAAATATAATATTAAAAGATAATTAATCAAAATTCAGTTACTGTTATTTTGTGAGTTATTTTGTGAGTCTATTATTTTTTCTGTATTGGAAGAACAATAGAAGAACATGCTTCTTGTTAATAGAATTGCATGACTTATTGTGAAAGTTATCCAAAAATGGATAAATTTCAGTAACTATGTTTCATTCTTTGAAAGTTTTTTGTATTTATGTACTCTAATTTGTTTCAGTTTTTTTCCAATATAGCTCAGAATAAGTTCTTAGGGCAAATCTTCAGAAAGTATGTTTTAAATTTAATTGATATTAATGGATTTATTGGAAAATAATTGAGAAATTTAAATAATAATCAATATTTTATTTTAAATAATTATATATAATTATTATAATTAATGAAAAGGAGGAAGATAGAGGTGAACTTCGAAATGGAAAACGTAGAAGTTGGGATGATGATTTTACATTAAAACGACAATTTTCTGCTCTTATACCTACCTTTGATCCTCGTCCAGGACGAACAAATGTTAATCAAACAACAGATTTAGAAATACCTCCTCCAGGTATTTAATTAATTTATTTTAAGTGAGAAAATACAAATATAATTAGAATTTTCATCTAACTTGAATTTACTAATTAGGTTCAGATGAATCTAAATCTGAAGAAATAAGAGAATTAACATTGCAACCACAGTTGATTTTAACACTAAAAGGACCTAACTTACCTGGGGTAAATAAATTTAATATATATATATAATTGAACAGCAGTTATTCAAATTGATAAATTTTTTCTTAAATTTGTGTACACTTTTAATTTATAGGTACCTGATTTAGAATTGGAACTATCAAATCCTGATTGGACAATATTTAGAGCAGTACAGCATCTGGTTCAAGCTTCTGAAATTGGTACAAGGCAAGATAAAATACGGAGATTGTGGGAACCAACTTACATGTAAATATATTAATCATTAAAAATAATTTCAGATTATATTAATATTAGATTGTAATAACTACATAATTTTATAAATGATTGATATAAATGAGTATTTATTTATAACTTTAAGCTGGATATTATGAGGATGAGTCAAAACAAATTGATTTTTTTTCCCTCCTGTTGAAATTATAGCACTAACAAATATTCCTAGTCTATATCACTAAAAATTAGTTACCAATACATCTGACAAAAAAAAAATTGCATGAAAATGAGGTAATTCATTATACAGGTATCCCTTGATTAACACGGTGAATTAAAATCCCTTGATGCTACTGTGCATATCAAAATTGCATTAATCAAATACGATGGTACCTTGGTACTCTACTGAACAATTAGATCCCACTAGAACAAATTTTTCTTTAATAAAAAATATTTTTATTTTTATTTTGTCATCCATAAGAAAAGTTTTATATGATGAAAATTAATAACTAATTTAAAAATAAAATGAAACCTTAGAGCTGCCTATCTTCATCATACAAAATTATACTTGATTCAGTTTATGTTCTTCACTTTATGCATACTGAACATAATCATGTCAGTGACACACTAAGATTTTTAACAATGTCTTCTTGAAATTTCTTTTTTGTCAACAGTTTTTGGACACCCCATATGTTTTCTATCCTTTGGATCAAAATTTCTCAAACAAAACTTACAAAACACATTTGATATGTCCAACATTTAGGAGCATCTTCTTCATACACTAAAAATATCTTTTACTGTTTGTATAGCATTATATCCTTTATGAAACTTAAAAAGCATACATAATATGCCTGATATGCAGATGTTTTGGTTTGATTTTAAACAAACAAAATGTGAAGTACAGTTTTAAAATAAGCTTCTAAACAAAGAATACAATCTTACAATTAGCAGTAATGTGTTAAATTTCACAGTTATTGTAATTAAACTACATATCTATATCAGAAATCACCCTCAGCACAAAAATAGCAAATTCACCGACACCTTGCTGAGAAAAACATATGTCAAGTAAAGAAGGCTGTTAAAGCTGTCTTAATTAAAACTTTTGCCCTGTATATAAAGGGATTGCTGAAATTAATTTTGCACATTAATCAAATCCCACATTAAGCAAGGGGCATTTGTATAAAAGTTCTACTGTATTTATAAACAATACATGTATTTGAAAAAGGAACATTAATGATACTTTATTTTTTGATGTGTAAAACAAAAACACCATTACCAATGATTGCCAATTATTTTAAACTGTTTGGTTAGTTGAAAGGTAATAGTTGTGTTAATTTTATATTATAAATAAAAAAATCATAAATTAAATTTTCACACATTTAAATTTAACTAATTATATTTTTTTATTTATAATCTAAAATCAATACTTGTATTAAGTTTGAATTAGAATTTTTTATGCATTTAAATTCTAAAATTCACTTGATTCAATGAAATTCAAATTTATATTAATTAAAGATATCAAATTTTATTGACTATATTTTATCAGTTAACTTACTTTGAGATTAGAAATATAAATATTAAATTTTGTCTCATACAGAATATTAGGGTATAATAACTGTAAAAATATTGCCATGGTTTTTTATAACGTAGATCGTTCTGATTGGTCAACCAATGTCAATTTTAAAAATACATTAATTCCGTTTTACAGCCAGATGCACTCCAGAAATAGTTTGATTTTAAATGTTCAACTGTGTTGAACTCTCTTATTGAGAGTTAGCAAAGTTTTGTTTTTTCTCTTGTTTTATTGTTTTCAAATTAATTAGTTAACTTTTATTAATTTGAGACTTAATAAATTATATTCCATGTCCTGTGACTATATACCTTTAGTTTTAATTTGTTGTTTTACATATTTTCTTTAAAAGTTCTATTCTATATTGCATATTTTGCAAAATTAAAAAATGCTCATTATGATATCTTAATAATAATTATAAAATTTTTTTAGTATCTCATACAGAGAAGCTAAAGATGATGAAAAGAAAGCTAAGAAAGTAAGAAATAATTATTTGAAGAATTGTTTAAAATTTAAAAAAATTTTTTCATTTAGTTTAATAAATTCCTACGATATTAGAGTTAATGAACTGACATCCAGAATATTGAATAGAATTAATAACATATTGTAAAGAGTTTGATGTCATAAAGTAGTATAAATGTTTCTTTGAACATTTAATTGTTCTGAATGTTTATTATACAACTTGAAATAAATTTAAGAAGCTGAATTATTTGGAAAACATAAAAGTGAGTTTTTACTATTATGAGATAAAATAAAAACAGAAGTTAGTGTTAGGCAAGTGTAATGACAAAATATCTTGAAATTATAGTATGGACAAAGCAGAGATGATTCATTTTGAAGAGATATGTTTGTATTAGAATCTTTTTATTAAACTAGTTCTTATAGCTTAACAGTAAATGGAAACAAACTGATTTACAAGAAAAGTAGAAAACAGCTTTTGTGTTAGCATTATTTTATTAGCATAGCTTTCTTATTAGCAAAATTGAAATTTCATGGACAAACTTTTATGATAGAAGTGGATTAGTATGTTTATTGTTTTTCAAATAATTTAAGTTTCTGTAAAATAATTTTACAATTCAAGATTTTATTTGTTTTTAATGTTGTNTTTGTACTTGTATATGTGAATTATTACATGTAAGATGTGCCAGAATTTGGGAAACAAACCAGCTACATTAAATAAATTAAAAAGTAATATAAACAAAAGTACTTGATTTTTTTTGAGGAAATTTGTGAAATTTTAATTGGTATCAACATCAACAAATTCAGTATAAATAAGGTTAAAAATTTTATTTAATTTTATTTATGAAGGATATGGCTGATTCAGTTCCTATTGTTAAATCTTCATTACCTAAAGATTCTACATTAAAAGATCAAGATTTCACTGTAAATAGTCCAAATAATACAGCAACTTGTACTCTTCCTTCAATATCTTTAGATTCAACTAGTTGCACAGTTGAAGAAGTCTTACAAGTACTACGGTTACTTTATGTGCTTTCAAAAGAAAATCCAAATTGTATATATGACAATGGTAAGAATTTAATGTAAAATAATTATTTATATAAAATATATGTACAGTGGAGCATTAAAAATAGATTTCATCTGGATTTTCAAATATACATGTAAATTAGCCAAACTCTAAATACATTGAAAATTAAACTTTCAATTAAACAATTCAAGACAGTATTTCACAAGGAATGTAGTAATATTACAAAAATTCAACATATAATTTACAGAATCAATATATTTAAATAAAAAATGCACTAATCATAATTAAAAAATTACAAATTCTGAATGAATGTTAGAACATCAATAATGTAAGGCTGAAAAAACTTGAACAACAAAATTAATTTTGAAAGGGGTTAGTAGCCTATTTGAAAAATGGAAGAGAGAGCTGTTCAAGTATCAGACTTGAACTGTTGAACTTTGTAAATTATATATTGAATCTGTTATTCAGCAACTTTTTTTCTAATCCTGATAAAAATTTAATTTGAATCATTCAAAATTATCCTATTTTTGAATGATTTGAGAATTTTATTGTCTCTATCTAAATTTCAAAGTATCCCCCTTTTTTTGTCTTATAAGATGCACTTTTTTGTAACTAAAATTTATCTGAAAATTAGAATGCATCTTGTAAATCAAATTTGTCTCATACTGTGAAGAATATTTTTTCCAAATAACTAACTTGAAAAATGTGATGCATACAATATATCAGTACATGTACTGTACATCTTATAAAGTAAAAATACAGTAATTTCATTTTAAAAGATAACATTTGCATTTTTAAATATATTTTTAAAAATCTCTTTAAAATATTTAGTATCTTTTTAATTATTACAAGTCTAACTTTAAATAAACTAAGTTAAAAAGTTACATTATATAATAATTAAAAACACAAAAAAAAGTTTGATTCTTTATAAAAGAAAAGAACATTTTAGATTTCTTCATGTTTTATATAAAGTAAGTATGAGATATTTTCTTATAGTACATTAATAGAGTATGCTATGTGGAGAGATGTAGTATTTGTGAAAAGTGGTATCAGTTGTATACATACAGTATGTATATACAAGGTGTTGCAATATAATTTAACCAGGAGATTTTCATTAATTACTATTTATATTAATTACAGATTTTATGATATTGTGAGATCCAACCTCAGAATAAGTCCAAAATTGTTCATTTTCCCCCTAAATTTTCGACATATATGAAATAAATTTGTCACCTCCTCGTTAAAATAACATTGTGGGAAAAAAGAATCAAATATCGATAGAAACTTATAACTTTCATCGTTAATATAAACATTCAACCCTCAAACAATGACATTCCTCTGCTGCAAGACAAAAAGTTTATAGTTAAAGTCCGAATTTGTCATTTTGTTTTGGTCCCGGGAACAACTTTAACCTCCATACCTGCGGAACCAACTCTACCTCACACAATAGGGGATCACCTGACTAATTTCCCCTGCCCGAAGCTATAAAAGCGACTTCTTTCCCCCTCCTCAGGGGAGTCTTACAACTACGGCCGTCGGAAAGGGTTCAGTCTTGGAGGATTTTGACTTTGTGCATCGATCATAAAAAAAAAAGGACTAAAATTTTCCCACCTACGTGGAAGTAAACTAGAGGTATGGAGCAGTTAATGTAAACTCTCTCTCCGCAAGTTAGGAGCTAGTGAACTAAATTCATTTCTCCAGATGTTAGATTTTGTAATTGTTAATTTCTTCGTTAATCTAATAAATTGTTGTTTCCATTGTTAAATGGTGTCATTTACTCGCATATCGCCTATGCCTCGTCGACGACCCCTCTCACCTCCTCCACTCGACCTGACAAAAAATATCCCGACCCTTCAGGACTGCGTTCGAAATTTAGCCATCTTGACAAGTGAGCAGGTTTAACGACCTGTAGCCGAAAAGGGAGAGTCGGCAGTTCCCGATCTCCCCAGCGGTTCGCATAATATTGAACATTACTAACATAAAATAACAAGAACCATTCCATTGTTCATGAAGGTGAGGAAGGGATGTGGTGAATGATGGTGACATGACTCTTACCAGTTTAAAAAAATACCAAAGATATCCATCAAAACTGAAAGAGTTAGTAAATAATTTTAAAGACAAAGGAATACAACTGATATTAATATTTTGAGATGTGAACTGTGTGATATTACTATAAATTTGGATGAAAAGTATCTCTCTTCACCAGTTAAGCAGCACAATTCTAATAGGGAAAAAAAAAGAAAAACAAAAAGAGGCAGAAATTTATTTTGCCGTCATTAAAATTCTGTAAAGAACAATGCAAGCAAGAAGAATGAATTTTCACGTGAACTTGTTACAGCTTTAATATGGTCAAGGATTGGTCTTAACTTCGTAAATCATCCAGCATTCAAAAACTTTCCAGAAAAGTATACCAAGCACTCAATCCCTGACCAAAGCATTCAAAGGTAAAGCTATGTGCAGCCTGCATATGAATCAACATGTTGAACATTCTCATTGGTCCATCAATAGCCAATTCAACTCATACTGTTAAGATTTTACAAATTAGAAAAGACAAGTTCTACACCAGGGGTGGCCAAAACGTGGCGCATTGGACGATTACAAGTGGCGCTTCAGTTAGTTCTGAGCAAAATTGCCAGATTTGGCTTTTATGCGATTAAGAATATTATATAAAAAAATAAATTTTTTACAGTCTGTCATGGCAAGTTCATTTGTTGCACAATTCATTACNCCAGGGGTGGCCAAAACGTGGCGCATTGGACGATTACAAGTGGCGCTTCAGTTAGTTCTGAGCAAAATTGCCAGATTTGGCTTTTATGCGATTAAGAATATTATATAAAAAAATAAATTTTTTACAGTCTGTCATGGCAAGTTCATTTGTTTCACAATTCATTACAGTCTATTTTGCAGATAAAATGAGTGTTCTCCACATTGTAAATTACAGTGAATGCACGTATTTTGAGTCTTGCGATCTTTATTTCCGATCAGTTTACAGGCGTGTAAATGGCCGAAAACATTTATTGTGATTAAAGTTATTCCAAGCTGATCTTGTTCTCAGAGCCAATAATTGTGGTGCAGAGTAATCTTCACCAAACAAGACTCTGGCAGCAATAGCACCGTCATGAAGCAATAGCCCTCTCGTACAGGAGATTATTGTTGACTATTGTAAATTGGTGCTTCAATAAACTGTCATAAATTAATTAATTCAACTGCGTGATAAAGTTATTCCCTTTTCTCTCCTAAGTGAAGCAGATTTATTCTTATCTCTATTTATCAACCCCTAACATTGAACGTAAGATTGTACAAAAAGTGTTCGAGGTATATGGCGCATCTGAACTCGTCTGTCAAAAAATTGGCGCATGGTATGTAAAAGGTTGGCCATCCCTGTTCTACACTGTTATGTAGGTCTTCAATGATGCATGTACCAGACTGTGGAACTTTGCAATTTTGTATGAAAAGGTTTGGTTACTTGTAATAGGCCAGACACTAAGTGCATGCTCAAATGTAAAGTTGACATATATGAATCTGAGACATGTCACTTGTCTTACCCATTGCCTTAGCAGAGTATGTGAAGCAATTAGGATCAAATTTTTTTGGGTCAACAATGAAAAAGACTGATTAAATGTCCTGCAAATGTACATCTATATAAAGAGATAACTGGCTTGCCACTCTCAAAATACCTTAATAACCAGGTGGGACATGTGGATTCAAGTAGCATATTTTAAATTGAAAACTTTTGTCCATGGAAGCATTCATTAATAAATCAGACAAAAAATTCTCAGTGACCACAGTATATCTCAAGAATCTGTTGAAACAAAAAGCTGTATTAAAGGAACTCTATACCGTTCATTCATATAAGTTCCTGTGCAGTTTATTTTCTAAGCTTGAGGAAAGTGATCTGTCTACTGAGAAGCAGTGGAAGATTTTTAAACACACCAAAATCCAGTTGGATAGATTCGCTTTAGAGAAACTTTAATACTCCATGAGGAAAAGTTTAGATATTCAAAATATAATTCCTGAGATTGTTAACTTACAAAACCTGGAATTTTTACTGAAAACTAAATATGCTACTCTGAGATTTGTTGATGTTGAAATTGTTTTCACATTCCAAAAATTTACTTTCCTTTCACTGTCTGTAGCTGACTATGAAGAATGTAGAACAGCTGTGTGTTTGCTTTAATTTATAAACAGCTTTTCTGTTTGTAAATTATGAAACTGGATGGATCAGATTCTAAAACTGACTGGTTTAAATTTTTATCATTTTCTTGAGTTTGTGTGGTCTATGTATACTTTATGGACAATAAAATGATCGTTTTACTTCTATATATTTTTAGGAGCACTTTTTTGGCACTTTTTAATTTTTTTTTTTGTTTTTAAATAAAATTTGCACCTCAACTATCCTAGTTTACTAACCAGAAATGAAATATTTCATCATCTGTTTTTTTTTTTTTGTTATATCACTACAGTTGCTGATGTGAAGTTAATGTTGGGAGATTTGCATTGTCATTTTGATAATAAAATGCAATATTTGGAATTATTTATATCTGATATTAGCTTTTAATTACTCTTTCATTATCATGTAGAATATATAAATATAGTGTATGATATGATAACTTATGCACTACAATAAAAGCTTTCTGTGGGATTTTATTGTGTATATTCATAGAAATTTATTTTGAGATTTACTGAATTTTATTAAAAATTTGATATATCAAATACATTTTAAACAGATATTTAGGAAAACCAATGAATGTATTATAAATATTTCAATTCTAGATGAGATTTTTCTACATTGACACTGTTGAAATATTTTAAACACAAAAGTATGTTTTAAGTGCTGTTATTTAAAAATATATTTATAGAATATAAAATATTTAATGAATTGAATGAAAGTTTAATGAAAAATTTCTATATTTATATACACACGTATGAAATAGGGCCAAAAGTTTCCAGCCTATGTTTTAGATGTTATAGGTATAAAACAATAATGTAATTTTTTTGATTTGATCTTCTTGAAGTTCAACACACTTATTACATCTTGGAATTAGCATTCGAATACTCTTGAAAAAAATAGTCTGCAGTTTTGTCTTGTCTGCAAAATGCTCATAAACTGCCTCCTACAACTCTTCTTCACTTTTTCAAAGGTTTATTTGTGTTTCAGTAACAGGTAGTAATCACTAGGTCCTGACTGTAGAGTGGGGATGATCAAGCTCCTCAAAGCCACACTCCTTCATAGCAGCCTCAGTAATGGCAGCAGTGTGCACTGGCACATTGTCTCACAAGAGGCAAACATGATGCAAATTAATGCAACAAGTCTAACTAAAATGAGTGTTTCTAAGCGACTTATGGAAATTGGCAGGAAAAACTGTTTTATTAATCCACATACAGATGGTGCTGTCTGTTACTATTATTATTTTATTCCTACCATGTCTAAAATATAATTAGGCCAGAAACTTTTGATGCCTACCATGTACAGTACATGTGTGCTTTTTTAGAAATGAGTCTAAGAAAAGTTTTCAAGTTCTTGATTTTAATAATGGAATTTAATTAGAACTTTAAATTTTTATTTGTTTTTAATGTCAGTTTTTCTTACTTTTTGATTATATTAACCTTAACTTTTATATTTCCAGATTTGGAAGATTCAGTTTTCAATGTTCCTGCTGATGATTTCATAAGTAGAAAAATTACAAATAAATTGGTTCAACAAATTCAAGTAAACTATTTTTTATTATCTAAGTTATTCGTATTTCTAATTACAATCGTTTTAAAGTTTTTCCAATATATTTGTTTCAAAATTTTTATAAGCATACTATATGACATAAACTATTGTTTTTGTATGTGTTCTGTGTTTGTATTTTATGAGGGAGAAGACTATCACTTGCAGTTAGTTGTATTTTTTTATTTAAATATAACAAATAAATAAATATATTTAAATGATAAAAGCAGTTTATTGATATAAATGTTTATGATGCTGTTATTAATTTTATAGTGAAAATGTATGTTAATCAAAATGTAAAATTTTCTAATCTGAAGGATCCCCTAGTATTAGCATCTGGAGCACAACCTGAATGGTGTGAACATCTCACCTATTCCTGTCCAATGTTGTTTCCATTTGAGACTAGACAACTGTATTTTACTTGTACAGCATTTGGAGCATCAAGGTTATTTTGCATTAGCTACCTTAAAAATCTATTTATTTATATTTTTTTTCAGATCATTAAAGTTGATTTATTTATTTAGATCAATTGTTTGGTTGCAAAATCAACGTGATGCTGCGTTGGAAAGAAATAGGGGACCTTCTCCTAGACGTGATGATCCACATGAATTTCGTGTGGGACGACTTAAACATGAAAGAGTTAAAGTTCCAAGAGGAGATCAGTTATTAGATTGGGCTATGCAAGTAATGAAAGTACATGCAGAAAGAAAGAGTATTTTAGAAGTATGTTTAAATTTTAATGTATATTATTATTTTTTCTACATTAAGGTTATATGTAAATTTTAATAATGTACTGTAAATAAATAAGTAAACGTTTGAGTATAAGTTATTTCATAAATTATTAATAATCTAATATTTTGGCATCTTTTAACATGCTATTGAAATGTTATAAATTTAGGTTGAATTCATTGATGAGGAAGGAACTGGTTTGGGACCAACATTAGAATTTTATGCTCTAGTGGCAGCTGATCTTCAAAGAAGAGATCTTGGTTTATGGCTTTGTGATGATGAAATTCATCATACTAATGTAAAAATTATTTTCAATAGAACTATATAGTTAAAAATTATATTCTACATTGATATTTTCTATAATATTATAGAATATCTTTCAGGTTGAAACAGGAGAAGGCTTGAAACCACCTGGTTATTATATTTTTTCACCTTTTGGTTTATTTCCTGCACAATTACCACAAGATAGTGATGATTTAGAGAGGGTGGAACAATATTTTCATTTTCTGGGCATCTTTCTTGCAAAAGCATTACAAGATAACCGTCTTGTTGATCTTCCTTTATCTCGTCCTTTTCTAAAATTGATGTGTCATGGTGAAGTATCCAGTAAAATTAGGGACAAGTAAGTTTTTAGCCTCTATGTCCAATTAATTGATTTATTTATGAATTGTTTTAAATGTTTTATATTAATCTTTTTAATAACTATTTTTAATTTGCTATAAATTTTAAGGACTTATCAGACCACAGTTTTCAATTGGAAAGTATTTTCAAGTATTTTTATCTTAGAATACTTGAAAATACTTTCCAATTGAAAACTGTGGTCTGATAAGTCCTTAAAATTTATAGCAAATTAAAAATAGTTATTAAAAAGATTAATTAAAATATAGGACAAAAAGCAAATAATTATAATGTTTTATATGTAGATGAGTATACTTTGAGTTTATCATGTTTTATGTTGCATTAGTAAAAATGTTTGTTAGAAAGTTTTCAGATTTAATATTCATAAGAAATAACAGAAATTATTGAGGAAAAAATTATTTTCAAAACTCAGATTACAAAACAATGCATTGTTCATTTGTTTTATTTCTTTATAATGTTTTAATTTACTCCAATGAAAGCAATTAGAATTTTCTTTTTAGTATTTCTACTAAAAAGAAAATTCTAATTGCTTTCATTGGAGTAAATTAAAAAATTATAAAGTTTAAATATTTCATACATTTCTCTAAAACAGTCTCAAATTTAAAAAACTCATCATTCTTACATTCTAAATGAAAACAATTTACACAATTTACACTTTTGCCATGGTTTTTTATAACGT